TCAGTGAAGTGAACTAATTAAAAAAATTTTGACCAAAATTTGGATTTCCCCCTTTTCTACTGACCGCCTCCCATATACCTGTAATTTCTAATTTACATTTAATTTTATCAAATTAATCAATGTATAAAATACTTTATAACAATAATCATTGCAAATATTACATAATCCATTCAAATCTTTTTGATACACATAGCGACCACCTATTAAATGTGTCATAAAAGAAGTTCTTTTTATTCTATTAGGATAAATTCCTTCAAATTTTTGCCAGAGAGCTTAATTGTTATCCTTTAAATATAGTAATAGCAGGTTAGTTTTTGGATTAACACAATAAGAGCTCATAGTTACATTATCTTATCAGAAAAAAACTTTCAAATTTTCTGTCCTTTATTTCAGAGATGCAATTTCATTTTACAACTGGCTTAACTTTCACAGGACATCCTGAACTATTTACACAGCTATATTTCTTTGCTATATTAATTAAATCATTCGAAATCTAAAAATAATAAATAAGATATTTTTCTTATAATATAATTAATAAACTATATTTAAATTTACCATCAAGTTTATTTGTATTTCCTTATATCCAAGATTTTCTGCAATAATAGATAGAACTCGTTGCTTTCAATCCAATTCATATTTATTAATTTTAATTGCCTGTTTAAAACTTTTCCAAAATTTTTCAATTATCTCTTTCAATTAGTTATTTTCTTTTATAAATTCTGGTTTTTTATTATTGACATTATTTAGTAGATTTTTGTCAAACAAGTATAGAAATACAGTACTTTCACTATTGAAATCTACAGAACATATTCAAAATTCAGGTTATTATAAAGCTATTGTTAGTTTTTTTTTAGTAAAATGAAATCATTTAGTTTAAAGAAAACTTACTTTTGATTTTTACTTTTTATAGGTATTATATTTATACAACCAACGCTTTTCATCATCTTCCTTTAAGCATGCAATTCCCGATCAGTAAATTCATAATCCAATGAATATAATGGTTTAAGATGCATCATATATTTTATAATGTTCGATTCTTGCTCTTTCCATTCAATAAAAAATCTATGCTAATTAAGTTCAACAACAGAAAATTTTTATTTTAGATACTTTTCAAATGCTACAGATATTACTTCAATATTTTCTCATTTATTTCCATTACATATTGAAGATTCTGTATAATTTTTCAATGCATTAATTATAACAGAATGTTCGATTTCAAATAAAATGTTACCATTATAATTTTTTAGAATTCCAGTTTTTTTTCAAACTTTAGTTGATAAAACATTACGATAATATGCGATTCTTTTTTTCTTTTGAAATAATTCTATATAACAATATTTTTTTTAATCTTTTGTACAAAAAGACTTTACTTACCTTGATATTTATACATAAAACTTGATAGGTATCCAATCATATCATCACCTAACTCTATAATTAAAATAGACAGTTTGTCTACTGTTATTTTAAAAGAATGAAATAAAACATCAGATAATAGTTCTTGAGTAATATTTTCATTATCAAAACCTAAAACTGAAGGTCCTGAATATCATGTTTTATTATTAAAAAGATTATTATAGGCTTTATTATAGCTTTTGAGGCAGATAGATAAATTTTTGAAGTTATATCTGATTCACAAATATAACCTGGATTCATGTCACTTTCTGTACTAACATTATTAATAACAAATTTGGTTTTGTTAAGTTCCAATTGAACTCTCATATTCAATCTTAAAGGTATACATATATGTTTTCTTCATTAGGCATATTTTATTAATAAAAGTCTACTAATTTACTGCATATATGCTATAATAAAGTGATTGAACGAGATTACCAGTGGCAAGTAGTTGTATTATTTGTTTTTTGAAAGACATAAAAAGTTGATTAGCCAAGAAATGAAGATTTAGAAAATCTTTATTTTTACTATAATTTATTAACCCCACAATTTATTATTAAATTTTAATCACATGCACTGATTGTTATACAAATCACAAATTATGTTATTTATTAAATATCTTTACATTACAAAAATATCTAATGTTGAAGATTTTCTTAGTAATCACTTTGTAAATTCTTTAATATCTTGATATTTTATAAGAAATTTATTACATTTCCTCTATAAACATTTTGTCTTCCCAAAATTGATATACTATTATTACTATGAATACCTAAAACGATTAGTATTTCTTTAAATTTTGGTAGATCTTCAGGTATCTTATCTAGGTTCATATTGTTTTCGGCTAAAAACTTCTATAGTATTGACTTTGCTGTATAGCAATATCAACATATTTTCTTAATAATACTCATATCTAGTATTTTTTATTAAATATAGGACAAGATTTATACTGAATTTTATCTATTATTTTCAAAGTTTCTTCAATAATCCTTGCTTTTTTATATTGATTGTTATAGTTGAATTTGTTTTATCGGACATTTCTGGATTATCTACTGTTTTATGCCAAATTTATTTATTTACATTTTTTTGCTGATATTCTATTCTTATTTGTTGATATTATTGAGAATAGAGGTGATATGCTATTAAAATTGAGATATGAGATATAATAAATCATATGGGTAGTATTCTATTAAAATTGAAATACAGATCATATGATTTACTATGTCTCATAACCCACTTTTAATAGATCAGCTCTCATATGATATATACCTCAATTTTAATAGCATATAACCCATATGGTAATTTACTATTAAAATTAAGGTATTATTATATGATTTACTATATCACGTATTTCAATTTTAATAGTATATTGCCTATATTTTCATGCATCATGATTCCACTTGTTTTTATAAGCCAATTATCATCAGTAATCTCTGAACCAATTTTTTTTCTTGTTCAAACGTTTAAAGATATTTATCTCATTTTTCTTCAGTTTTATTCACATATTTTGACATTTTAATTTAAATTCATATGCAAACTGGACTTCACTTTCTTCAGCAGTCTTTTAAGTATATTATTTTGCTTTCTAAGTATCTTAATTTTCTTTCTAAGTACCTTATCATTAGTATTTTAATTAGATACTAATAGTTAAAATATATTTTGATTTTATGTATGCAATTTTTATTTTGATTTAAATTATTAAATTTGTTTAATTATATGATTCAATTTGTTTAATTTATTAATTTATTTAATTTATTTATTAAAAAAAATATATACTTTTTTATATATCTTTTTTTACATCATCTAAAATAATATTAATTAAATTTAAGAATAAATTAATTTATTACTTAAATAAATTAAATAGTACAATTTTTTAATTTAATTAAATAATATAATGACAATTATTATGAATTTGATTTGCCTTTTATTAGTTAAATTTCACTTTCGACTTATCTAATATTTTTAGTTCCCTAGTTATTTAATGATATTTATATAAAAATATTTATCAAATAGTTTCAATAATTTAATTGATTATAGTATTCAAAATTAAATAAAGTAATATTCATAATTAATATAATTTAACTTAAGTTTGTTATAATTTAATCTATAGAATATCTATTGAATTTTTGAAAACTTATTTAATTTTTACTATTTAAAGAATTTTGTCTATAATTTGAAGTATATTTATATATAAAGCAAAATGATTAGCTTTATCACAAAATTATATAAGCAAAATGCTTCTAAAATTATATTTTAAAAAGAATTTTTATATAATTAGACTTATAATCAATTTAAAAAATAGCTGATTAAAAACATAAATTATATAAAAAGATAATATTTAATAGATAAATATCACAAAATTTAATAAATAATTTTGAATTATTTGTTATTAAATAATTATCTACATTTTTTTTATAATAATATTTGATTTAGATTATTAAATATCAAAATCTATCGTTTTAGAAATATAATCTATATATTAAAATAATTAATTAATTTTTAGATTTATAACAAATTTATTGTTAGTATTCTATTTCTTTTACTTACTATTATTAATGTATTTATTACAACTATCGTTAATATGTTCATCTAATAATAAATAAATTAATAATATATTTATCAATATTTAATTATTTAAAATAATACTATTTACCAATAATATTTGAACTGGTTAAAATTCCTGTAAATTTTGCTAAAGTTATTATGTGACCATTTTGTTTATTTTTTATAGTAGGTCCAATATCTGGTGATTTTATAATTTTAGTGTATAGAATTTTTTCATTCAAAATGATTTTATTAATACGATTATAAATATCAAAAGTAATTGGTCTTTTATTTGGATTAGAGTCCCAACATTCTTGCATTAATTCTATATAACCTTTAGGTGTATTTGTGAATACCATCACATATTTTAATAATAAGATCTATATCAGCATTTTGATCCCAAAAGATCTTTTACCTATCATTATTTCTCACATTATCATACCAAAACTATATAAATCTGAAGCTTTGGTATATTTTTTATATTTTTGTTCTTGAAATATTTCTGGAGCCATATAAGGAATAATTCCATAACACTCATTTTCATCAACTGATGATTCGGTTGATATTTTACTAATTTTTAAATCACTAATTATAATATCATATTCATTTTTACAAAAAATATTTCCACTATGAAAATCTTGATGAATAATATTTTGTTTATGAATAAAAGCAAGCCCTTTTATAATTTATTTCAAAATAATTAATTTTTTATTCCATTCAAGATCATAAAAATTTTCTGTTATATAATGTTTTAAATCATATTTATAATAATTCATTATTATTACAAAATCTTCTGTATTAGGATTTTTAGTAATTTCATAATATATATTTAAATAAAAAAAAGAATTCATAAATCCATCATTTTTTAAATCAATATTATAAATTATATTAAGCTATATTTATAAAGAATTTATAATTAATATATTGAATTTATTAATATAAAATAAAATATTTAAATTAAATTAAATTTACCTCATTTAATTCTTTAAAAGTAATATTTTTAGAATTTTTAAGCTGTTTTAAAGCAATCATCATATTTGGATCATTAAATTCAAAATTTTCTATTTCTTCATTCCAATAAGGTGGCCCTTTATTCCAAATAGCTTTATATACTTTACTAAATCCTCCTTCACCAATAATTTCTAAGTTTTTAAATTGATTGTAAGGAATAAATTTTATTCTACTAGATTCTTGAATAAAATTATCAATAGTTTTGTTTCCACTTGAAATATATAATAATTTAGATTGATAACAAATAATACAAATCTCATTATCTTTTTTTGAAGATCATCTTTTTTTCAAACAATTTTTACAAATAGTATAAATTTTATTTTCCGATTCAATTCTGAATCCTTTAAATAATTTTAATTTAAAGAATATTTCTTTATTAAATTTATGAGATAAATTTGTATTTTCAACAACTTTTTGATACCAATAAATTGCTTTTTCTAAATTCTTTTCTATTCCTTCACCATTTTCATATAATAATGCAAGATTATTCTGTGCAATTATTTGTCTATTTTCTGCAGCTTTTTGATACCAATAAAATGCCTTTTCTAAATTTTTTTCTGTTCCTTCACCATTTTTATATGATAATGCAAGATTGAATTGTGCATCTGCAACATTATTTTCTGCAGCTTTTTGATACCAATAAAATGCCTTTTCTAAATTCTTTTCTGTTCCTTCACCATTTTCATATGATATTGCAAGATTGAATTGTGCAATTATATGTTCATTCTCTGCAGTTTTTTGATGCCAATAAAATGCAATGTTTTTATTTATATCAGTTCCAAATCCCCTTTTATAGCATTCACCTAAATAATATTGCGCAATTTGATGAGTACTTGCAGTTTTTAATAAGCATGTAAATCCTTCATTATTAGTATTTTCATCTATACTAATAGGATAAAATTCCAAGGAACAAAACATATTTTGATTAATTTTGATTTTCATTAAGCCAATTGAAAATATCACCATTTGATCGAGTAGAAAATGTAATGCATTTATTAAGAATATCTTTTGTTTCATCAAAACTAAAACTTTTGTCTCGTATTTTAGTCAATAATGTAAATAATTTATCAATTAAATTTTTAATATTATCCGTTGAATTACTCATTTCTAATATGTTATGATTTATTTCAGATTTATTTAAATAGAGAAATTTTTGCAGATTATGGTATATAGTAATCTCACAAGTTTACAACTGAAAATTAAGAAGCAAATTTTTTTTCGTCGTTATACTGTATATCATATTTATCGAAAATCGGGCAATCATTTAACCGAGTATTCTATAATTGGTTATTGGTGTGCACAATACTATAACTGACTTGTGCTACATCATAATGCAGTAAACGTACTGTATATGCAATGCAAAGTTCATTCTTTATAGAAAATAGAAAATCATGAGAAAGTTTTAAAATCAGGTGGTACAATAAAAAAGTGAGAAACTGCTGTGAAAAATCAATTTCACTGCCAAAAATGATTTTTAAGCTAAAAATATGTCCTTTCTATATGGTTATGTAAGTGATCACATGTCGATCATGACGTAGTGAGATTGGGTATTACTTAAATCGGAAAAATCATTGTAAGATTTAAATTTTTGACTTCACAAATTTAGTAATTGTTCATTCTTTAATCACATTATCTGGATAAGTTATGATGTGAATTATTGACTATGGAAAAAAAACCAAAATAAACTTATCCAAAGCTTTTTCCGAAACGAGACATCTGTTAAACTTTTTTTTTTTTTTTTTTTTTTGACTATTTCAGCACTTTTTTAATTTTTGACCCGAATTTAAACCGAAATTATATAAAACCGATTCAACCGGGCATTCGAAAAACCGAATTGCGATTAATTTTATTATGAAATATAATCTTAAAGATTCGTAAGGATCTAACAAAAAAAAAGAATAATTGCACGAAATAATTCGCGAAAATTGAATCTTTTATAACTTTTAACGCCATAATTCTAATTAACCGATTTTATTAAAACTCATTGTGGAGTAATTATCAATTTGAATATAAATGAGAATAAAGTAATAAATAAAAAAAGAAAAATCAACCATAATCATGTTTTTGTTGTCATTTTACCGTTATATGTATGTGTTTTGATCTTTTTGTTCCACCAAGTTTTAAATTTATAATTACAAATTACCTATATGTTACACCATGTCGGTATATTAGTTATAAAATTTTAATAAAATTTTTATACCAAATTCTTTGAGTGCATATGAGCAAGACTGGAACCCGAAATGATGATCGATTCTATTGAAGATTATGTAAAACTCCATGCGAAGCATTGTGCTGTGCATTCCTTTTATTTTATTTTATTTTTTTACTATATTGCTAAAAATTTTTGCGCCATAATTATCATGAACCTTGATCAACCAATAAAAGAGTAAGATTTCCTTATAAATATATAAATAGAATAATAATTTAAATTAGATTATAAAGAAATTCAGTTTGGATTTTACAGATAACATGTACACAATAATTTTGACCGGCCCAATCCCAATTAAGGTTCTTATTAACCACATACTATAATAGGAAAATAGTGCTTCTTTTCGGTTATAATTTTAATAATTTGAAATTATTAAACTTATAGTATGTTTTATAACTAATTAATTTATATAATGATTCTTTCAATTAAAATTTAAATTTCAATCTTCTTTTCAGGTCTTTTTCTAATCTTTTTATTTGTTCTTCGTTCAGGAAAAACAAATTTTTCGGGAATTTACCAAAAATTCAAAAAATAGTTTCATATATAATAAAATAAAATCGTTAAGTTCCTTGAATAATCATAAAATGATTCAAAACAACCTAATCAAAAAAGGTCGTTATATCGATGTAACCATTAAAAGATATTTCCGAAAAAAAGACTCGTCAAATTTTTAATTCCTTAATTTATAGAAAATAATATTTAAAAATATTCATATTCGGAAAACACAAAAGAATCATTTTCTTGTATATAACGTAATGACCAGACTAAAACTTAATTTTGATTATCATCGATCGCTAAGTTATGCAAAATAAATTTAGTGACTAATTTCGGATTCGATGATCGTACACATACCCAAATGCGATGATCATTTCAGAAATGCAATATTTCGGACATCCCAAATGACATGACCATCTCTATCTTTATTAAATCATGTTAAAAAATACATCCGGAAGATCGGCATAATTTCACGAATTCCGATTTTGGATATCCAAAATGATCATTTCGGACATTAACGCATTAGACTCATTGCTCTGACATTTTGTCTATAAGAATAGGAAATGAATTTTTGTAGATTTAATATGAAAAGGGAAACAGAAAGATCTTTATCTTTCTTTTGAAACGTGAGAACAAAAGATGCTATAAATTTTAAAATTATATGAATTAAATTAATGTGAAAAGAGGGCATAGATGCCGATTTTATAAAATTTTCTTATAAATAACAATGGTTTTTGATCTATATGAAAGAAAATACACATTATTTCATTATAACAAAGCAAAACGTAAAAAAAAAAAATGAAAATAGAAAAAAAAAATATTTAAATACATATACAAAAACGAAAACAAATAGCTCAAATTACACATCCTTTATCATAAAGCAAAGATGAAACAAAATTTTATTTCTGCATTCTTTTTATTGGCCACGCTTTTATTGTCACATGCTGCTCCGTATCAACTTGATAAAAGAACTACTTCATTTGGTCCATGCCCAGTTGACCCCCCTGTAACCTTATTAACCGTAAACAACATTTCACCTGATCCTTTCGTAAAAGGACAAGTTGTTGCAGTTAACTTTACCGGAACATCGCCTGTTGATATTCACGCAAATAAAGGCATAAATCTTCAGCTAACATTTCTTGATAGTGATCAATCTCCAGTTGTTGAACCCTCTGTTTTGGACTTTTGTACTATTACTGGAATTACGTGTCCGTTGTTAAATGGAACAGAATTTAGTTCAAAGGTAGCAGTTACAGTACCGGATATAGATAATATATACATGGTTGTTAGTATTGTAGATGTGCCTAACGTCTCATACATAGCCTGTGCATGGAATGGCCCTTCCTCATCCTAAGCAGTTAATAACAATTCTACCAATTACTTTTTATAGATGTAAACTTTTTACTATTTTGTTCATTATTATACATAATTTTTAACTTATAATGCTAAATCCCATCTTAATACAATTTATGTTCGCAAATACTTTATTAAAATCATAATTAATTAAATGATTAATTTAATATAAAAGTGTTTTATAGCAAATAATAAAAAATTACATATATTAATTTGTTACAATTTCTTTAATCGTATCCCTTTACTCGTTTATTATCCAAATTATGTTCAACATTTAGAACATATATACAAACACCTGAGACTAAAATTATGTACTACGTATACAAAGTTGTAGGCGATGTAATAACTAATGAAGCGTAACCTCCATCGAAACTTTAGGGAACCGCTCATAAAGTCTAATTTATATTCACATGCTACACGTGTTATCATTGCCAATACTTTAGATACAAAATTGCTAAATTGTAATAACCATTGTGCATTAACAGGACAAATTGATCTCTAGAAAAAGTTTCCTTATAAAAATTTATGGAGACGGTGACCTTTCGACCAGTTGTAAAAGAGATGTGTAAACTTTAGATTAGTTATTTCCAATTTATTATAGTTTTCAACGAAATTGTTTAATAAATTTAACTTTGGAGGGGCGAAATGGAGTATTGATTTTAATTTAAATCGTTATGTATACTATAATTTTATTCGTTATTTGTCACATTTACGTTTCTCTTGAAAATGTAAAATATTAGATTTAACCAATCTGTGGTAATCGAAAAATTGGCGCAGCTGCGGGGACCCGAATTCTTGGGTCCAATTCCAAAGAATTATTTATTTAATTTTTTTTTAATTTAGCATAATAAACTTAATAAGGAAACTTAATATTGGCTGTAACTATTACAAATATGAACACATAAATAGCGTTTAGCTTATAAAAACGCGTTTATAACAGATAAGATTTAAACTAACTTTTCTCCTAATGAATTTAAAATAACTTAAAAATATATTTACAGCGGTAATTATCACGTGATTTTAGATTAAATTCACGTTTCCACATTTTAATGTTGAGTTTTGAATAAAATTCTACATAAATTTCAAATTTTTTAAACATATATTTAAACTATATTAAATGATACCCCTTTTTTTACTTGTAAGAACATAAAGTTTTTCCGCAAATATTATTAACGATATGGGAGATTATTGTTATCTTAAATCCATTTTAGTAAATTTATAAATTTATAATTGGTTGACATACAGTATAGTATTTATTTATGCAATCTGAATAGTATTTTTCTTCTATTTTTTTTTTTGGCTGTCCTCCTTGATAAAATAAAAGAATAAAAATGTTAGTGAGTGAACAAATACGCCGATAAAGATATTTCTGAGATTACACTATGATCGCTTATTCCATTTTTTCTATACTGAATATTTTAAAGATATCATATTTTTTGATTTGATTCGATACGGTGTTAGTGATAGTCTAGTTATGACGCATTAGTACTGCGCCAATTACAATTAGCGAATGATGATCCCGTCGATCA